TTCGAGTTATAAGGAGGGGCTAGATAGCCTGGGGCTTTTATCCTTGAGGGGCACCTTTTTAAAAAATAGGGTGGTGCGTATATGGAAAGATCTGCTGGAGGAAGTGGTGGAGGCTGGTACAATTAGAACATTTAAAAGACGTTTGGACAGGTACATGTGTAGGAAAGGTTTAGAGGGATATGGGCCAAACACAGGAAAATGGGACTAGTTCAGTTTAGGAAACCTGTTTGAGTTGGACCGAAGGGTATGTTTCCATATTGTATGACTCTATAACTGTCCTCGCAGCAGATGGAAAAGGGTGGCTGAACCTTTTGTTTTTGCTGTTTGTCCCACATATGGAGCTACATGAAACAGTAGCAATGAGTAGGTAACTTTGTTATGGAAGTTCAGGGAAAAAGAAATAGAAGGCTGAATAAAACAAGTACAGATGAAGATTTTGAAAACTTGACCTGCCTTAGGACAGCAGGGAGGCTCAGTGTCTGAAACCACTGAAGTTAATTGTGATTGAGAGCTGGCGCTAACAAAATGTTACCAGGCACAACCTCTTCTCTGTCTTGCTCAATGCATCCCAGTTTCAACACAGGAAGGCTAAGGTATTAAGCAATGTGTACATGCCCATTTTTGAACATGTCAACACTTGTAAATGACCCTGAGATCACGAGCACTAAACAATCAAAACGAACTGACCGGAAGAAGCAGGAAGGTGCAATGAAGAGACCACGTTGTCTCTCCTGATGAAAACAGGGCTCCCCTTCAGGGCCTTATACTGAGTACCTTTGTAAAATAACAACATAACCAAAAAAAAAATTGTAACACAAGCAACCTTGGTAGTTTTTGAAAAAGAAAGAATGTTGTAAGTATATTAAGAGGTCAACGGTAAATATTTACATCAACTGTAGTGAAGGAGCGTATCTCCCTGACTCACTAAGTAAACTCTGATATGTGTGGCTACTATGTCAGAGGTGTTGTACTAATGACAGCCTGCACCATGAGCTCTATTCAGATGGGGCTGGAGGCACAGCAGAGGCAGGGGTCAGAGGTGGGGAGGGTCATAGTTCCACAACATACTCCAAATATTCAAAGACACGATGAGCTGCCAGTAACATGAGAAAAGAGGATTTTGGTTGATTAGACCTCATCTCCAAGGAAACTCAAAGGAAATATTGCTGAACTGAACAAAACTGGATTTCTTAAAAGAAACTAAAATAAAAAAAATGATTGACAATCGTGATGACTTTTTCATGGTTGTACCAATTTATGTTAGCTGAAATCCAATGGCGCAATTTGTCTGGCATGCAGAATAGAATGGTTCAGATGTGATAGGTGAAAAATTAAAGTTGGTGAGATTTACTCTAAGCTTTCTTTTCAGTAAACTGTCAGGGTCTGGGGCACTTTGTGGTAACTTGTGATCTTTGCATGAATCAGTCTACTAACAGCTCTAAGACACAAAATAGAATTAAAAGTATTTCTGTTTCAGTCAAGCTAACTAAGTATTCTCCATGTACTTAAGTGTCCAGGACTCATTTGTAACTTGTGGAGTTATGACACTGCGGTGTCCAAAACTACTTGAAAAGGCATTCTACCATCCATGGGGGTGATTAAAATAGGCAAAGAGATATTGTTATCTCCACAATGATGACTGCACTCAATTAATTCCCACAGAAGTATATAAGAAAAAGGTTTTGAACAAATTCACCTGAGCAAAGCTTCAAAGTGTTTCTGTTTTTGTAAAGACAAATCATCATCATTTTAGAATTGAGTTAGTGAGCCTCCATTGGCAATGATGTCTTTGATCAGAGCTAAATCTTTGCACTAAGTAGTAGGAGATTAATTGAAGTCTTTTAGATTTAAAAGATTTTATCAAATGATTCCAACATTTAAATCAATCTCTTTGAGTGATGAAGTGTCGAGATACATCTGTTAAATTATAAAAATGAAGAGAACGTATCTAACATATTTGTATTCACAGCAAATATTATTGCACAGAAACTGGCAGCTTTCAACTTGCTTACAACACATTTTATGTAAATAAATTGTGTTCCTTGTGCTGTAGTCTAGCAGTTATGTATATTTGTAGAACTGTCGCTGGATGATGGGTTGCATCAATTCACTGGTACATTTGATTTGTATTTGGAAGTATTTGCTGATAAACTGATTTGAGATGAAAGAGAGGGTTTATCAAGCCATGCCCTCACACTATTGGGCACTTCCAGTTATGGCTTTTAATAACATTTCCCACCATTCCTTCATTTCAAGAGGTTTTGATGCGTGACCCAAAATAATTCCTTATTCCTTTGTCTTCATTCACACACACCAATCCCCAACTAAGACAGCAGCAGGTTCCTAGGCCTTTCTTAGGGAATGGCTCCCCTCTACCTTCTTCCTCCCCATAGGCTTGGCTGTGATCGGGAATTTGTTCTGTGGCAAGTCACTGGATTAAGCTTGGTTTCCCAATGGCCCAGCAACGTGCTAAGTCCTTTGTGTCATTGTGTTATTTTTTTAAAAAAGGCAATTCTCAATTTGTATCTCTTTGACTTCTTGCCTTCGAAACTGAGGCACTGTAAGATTCATCACAGACTGGCAAACCCAACAATTGGTCATCTTGAGAAGATCTCAGTCCTGGCACCAGAAAGGAGGGTGTGATTTCATTTCAGCAGCTCACTGCAGAATAAACTCCCAGCTCTTGAGCAAATGACAACTGACAACCAATGACTTTATCAAAGGGAGAAATCATGGAGGTAATAATTCCAATTGAACAGGGCTTTGTTCAACTCTCCTCTTGAAGCCCCCTCCAGGATCCCTTCACCTCCTGGGGAGCAAGACGCAGAGAGAACTATGTAGAGAGATCACTGTGTCATCAGCATCCTGGGTCAGGATGACAGGAGTAAAGGCCATAATGAGCAGTAAGTCTATCAAGAACCAAGGGTTAAGGGAGGTCACAAATGGTTGAATAATGAATACCACTCTCTGTGGGTTTGATGGCATGGGTGGTTCCAGCTCTTTGGTATCTTGGTGAAATAAGCTCAGTCTTCAGAAGGCATCAGGTCAATCTTGTCTTAAAAGCCCAGCATTTATGGTTGGATATGGATCTAGAGCATGTTGTTAAACTCCCTGCCGATGTATCTGAAACTCAGCTGCCTCAGCACAGAGCAAGGGTTGAACCTGACTCATTCTCTCCAATGTAAGGCTCAGTTTCACAGTTGGTAATGGACCTGCTAACTCAGCTGGTAGAGAAGCCCATATTCTGGGAGAAGAAAAATGTCTAACAAAAATTATTCAAGGATTCAGGTATAATTTTCGCCACACCTTGCCTGAGTGTGGTTTTAAATTAATCTCCAGGTTGTAACAGTTGGGATTGGGTGTTATATACAACCCTGATTTTTGTCTTTATTGAATCATTGACTAGTTTTGGGAAGGATATAAAGCTACCTTTCTATCTGACCCTGTAAGTTTTCTGTCTGTGACACCCTTCTCCTCACCCATCACCACAATATCTCACAAAAGGAGATACTGCGAGAGAGGGGGGAGACAGAAAGACAGAGAGAGAGAGAAAGAGAGAGAGAGAGGTCAGAAAGAGAGAGAGAGCACTTAGATTTGAGAACACTGAAAAACAACTGCTTAGTACATGTCTAATGACCAAAGCAATCCTCCTGCCTCATTGTGTCTCACAATCAACAATTAGAACTGGGCAGTTCTAACTGACTTGGAGATCTGGTATGTTCAAAGAGAGTTTATAGTTCTGTCTCATTAAAATCACAGACTTAAGTGTCCTGTCTGGGCAAGGGACAGTCTACAACCAAGAGAATTAAAGGGAAGAAAACTGAAGTCCTAACAAAAAGGAGTGAGAGGAAGGGGCGTGAGACTAATTGGATAACATTGTCAAAGTGCTAGAATGGGCATGATGGGCTGTAAAGCCTCCATTGTGCTTTAAAATTCGATGATTTCTTTATCCCAGGGCAGACAGTTGTAAACGTACAACTCACCAGTTAGAGTAACTCAGAAGCAGCAGGAGAAAGGGCCTTTTAACAAAGTGTCATGTGGCCTGGTAAAGAGGGAAAGTGCAAAGCTATCACAATATTCTATTATAAAGAACTGGGCATTCTGAGATCTGGGGAAGGTTAAACAAAAATATGGGGAACAAAAATGGCATCTTTCTCATTTTAAATGAGCTATACTTTTCACTGACATTCTCAAAAAAGCATTTCGGATAAAGGTCATATATAGCTTGAATTAGATAAAAACAAATTAATTGTAGGTTCCTAACTGCTGTACCAGTAACATTCTGAATCTCTGCAGAGAGCTCCAGCATTCAATCTTTCTTAAATAATCACCTCTTTATGTCCTCATTTTCAGGAGATCAGCACAATGTTGCAATGACCTTCAGGAAATTGGTCTTTAAATGAATGACGTTGGGAGATCTTACAGAGTACACCGCGTGGAAACAGACCCTTCAGTCCAACCAGTCCACGCCAACCATGTTCTCAAATAAAGCTAGTCTCACCTGCCTGTGTTTGGCCCATATCTCTCCAAACCTTCCTTTCCTAATCATGAACCTATCCAAATGTCTTTTCAACGTTATAACTACCTGCATCCACCACCTTCTCTTGGCAGTTCATTCAACACATGAACCATTCCGTGTAAAAACGTTGCCTCTTGTGTCCTTTTAAAATCTTTTCTCTTCTCACCTTAAAAATATGCCCCCGAGTTTTGAACTCTGCCATCTTAGAGAAAAGACCCCCGCTATTCACCTTATCTACACCCCTCATGATTTTATAAACCTCAAAAAGGTCACTCCTCAACCTCCTACACCACAGCTAAAAAGTCCGAGCATTTCCAATCTGTTTTTATATCTCAAACTCTCCATTTCCGGCAACATTTGGGGAAATCTTTTCAGAACCCTCTCCAATTTAGTAATATCTTTCTTATAACAGGGTAACCAAGTCTGTGCACAGTACTTCAGAAGAAGCCTCAGCAAAGTCCTGTAAAACCTCAACATGACGTTCCAACTCTTATACTCAAAGGTCTGAGCAATGAAGACAAGCGTGCTGAATGCCTTCTTAACTGCCTTGTCTACCTATGACACAAATTTCAAAGAATTAGAAAAGGGTCCACAAAGGCTCTCATTAGTTGTACTGGTACACATCCCAGTGCTACCTCTTCTCCCAATACAGATGAGAGGTTTCAGTGCTAATCCTGGGCTGTAAATGAGTTTAGTTGCAGACAATTTTAGGTTTTTCCAGCAACTCTCCTTGCTCTCTAGCCACCTCCATCTCATTCCTTTGTCAACCTGCGCATTTTTCTCACTTCTCCTTTCTTACCCAAATTCCTTGTTTGTTGTTTTCTTTAAAGCGTTACTTATTTTTTTTTAAACATTAAATTATTTCTTCGTTTGTACAGGATCTCACTGTTGACTACACCATTGGCCATGTGCCATAAATGAGATAATTGTTTGAAAGGTGAGAGTTGCTGTCCATTTCCACTCCCAGCGACTCTCTAATTAACACCACTGTGCTCTGCTCAGCTGCCTGAGGGGTATTTGATTGAATGAGCTCCCAACATATCTCAGTTCCTGACCAACCGCAGAAAGAGTTTACAAAGGCTCAAAGTGTTTGAAAACTCTGCGATAATTAATCCTTCGTACAAAATGCTCTTAATAATGCTTTTCTTTAAAAAAAAGGAAAATGAATTTATCTCTTAACTAAGGGGATTGTCCCAAAGAGCTCCCACTCCTACAGCCATATGTATAGTGTCTGGTACAGAGTTTGACCGCTTTTCCAACCTCCCCACCCGACAAAGAAAGTGCCTCATCATCAAATATATTGATGTATTGTTCACATGGTTTAATGCCAAGAGGCTCTGGCTGAGGAACAAAGGGCGGTGACCGTTATCATTCACAGTAAAACCTCAGATCTAATCTGAAATAGGAGTGAGAGCCCTTTAGACACTTTTTTTTTGGCAATTTCATAACTTGGGTTTAAGCATGAAATCTTTGAGAAGTCCTGCCTCAGGGTTGGCTGCTTTACATAGCGTCATGAGCTCTAAGCTTCCACTTTGAAAAGGCCTGAGTCTGTTCCCTTTGTTTGCTTATTCCTTAAAATGCTGACACAGCACTTTTTGCCACCCGAATGCTCAATCTGACATAACTTTAAGAAAACCCCATGCAATACACACCTCCCACCTCCATGCTTGGTACCTGTGACAGTTCAAAAAGGGGAGGAGAATGAGTCATTGTAAAGTGCTCCTTTGTGTGTAACTCAAGTCAGCTTGGCCTCTGTGTTATACTGACAGGTCCAGCAGCACCTCCTGGTAGACCCAGCAACAAAAAAAAGTGCTTTGGTGTTCGAGACTCTCCGGTCCCCTCGCGGTGAGTCGTGGCGCGCCATTAACCACACACTCGGGTGTAGGTCCGCAGGATCACCACCTTGTGAATCGGCTCCACTACAAACACGGGAAAAATGAAACAACAAATAAACAAAAATAATGATGATACAAAAAAGAAAATCCTTTCTCTTGAGTTGAAATGCGAGCAGCGTGTGCTACACTAAGTTGTCTGTCCCACTCATGGCTCCCTGCTCTTGGTTATTTTGGAGGACAGGCGTATTACAGAGTGGACAAACCTTCCTTACTTCGAGCCATTTGATCAGACACCTATGAAAGAGAGAAACAGAAAGGAAAACACATTTATTTCTCAATTCCCTGGGCTCTGTATTTTTGGTGTCACTTATTCTCATGAAAGCAATAAGAGGTATCAGTCATTGGGAATACAACACTTTCCCATGTTATATCACATTTTGTACAATTAGATGTTTAGGAAAGTCCCTTCTTCCTCTGTCCCACCAGCCTCATACAGCAGTAATAGGGTCGCACAGTAGCTCAGTGGTTAGCACTGGTGCCTCAGAGCACAAGAGGCCTGGGTTTGAGTGTCTTTGTGAAGTCTCCCCGTGATGGCGTGGGTTTCCTCCGGGTGCTTCAGTTTCCTCCCACGGTCCAAAGATGTGCAGGTTAGATGGATTTGCCATGCTACATTGCCCATAGTGCCCAGGGATGTGTAGATTAGGTGGGCCAGTCACAGGAGATGCAGGGATAGTGTAGGGGAGTGGATCTTGGTGGGATGCTCTTCTGAGGATCAACATGGACCCGATGGGCTGAATGGCCTGCTTCCTCACTGTAGGGATTTTATGAATTTACTGTTCAATTTAGACTAATTTTATAAGAATATAAAAATAAAATCAGGAGTAAACTTTTAGCCTTCATGCTTGCTCTGCCATTCAACAAGATCACAGCTGATCTTTCCGTCAGTCTTACCTTCCTGCAATATTCCCAAATTCTCTGAATATCCAAAAAATTACTGACATTTGACTATATTCAATGACACCCAGAACTCTGTGATGTGCAGAATTCCAAAGAATTGTAATCTTTAAGTGAAGAAATGTATCGCATTTCAGTCCTGAATGGCTGACCCCTCATTCCAAGACTGTGACATTAACCAGGCCACTTATTAATGCCCAGAAAAATAAAGGTCAAAGTCTCAGTTTCCAGAAATATTAGTTTCTTGGAATCATTGAATTTTAAGGCAAAATGCACCACAATGTGCACATCTCACTCTGCTGCACAATCTCCACTATACTCACTTTCTGTGAAATGCATGTTTACATGGACAGATCCCAAGCTCATCCTTCGGTTTAAACTCCTCCAAGCAGACTGCACAAATCTGTCAGATGAAACACAGCCACAATAAAGCAGTCAGTTTAAAAAGGTCATTTTGCAAAGACAACAGAGCCTTACAAAGTAAAGCGGATGGCACAATGACATTTAACAGTATGTGTGACGTAAGACTTTGTTTATTATAACCCCTGATTAAGGGGTTATTATGTGTACAACATTCTTATGGTAGTTAAACTAAATATATCACAAGTTTGAAAGATTTCAAAACACACAGAAAATTACAATCCCATTAATCCCAACAGCACTCCTTTACAGTACTCACACCAGAGAGAATTTCCTTCTCTATCATATCCATGGGGCTTATCTGTGGATTCCACTCCCTGTCTGGAAAATCTGATAATCTCTTTCTTGAGTCTTCATACAACTAAGCTTAGACATTTTCAGCTTTTAATAACTCTTTCAGATTTTAACCAAACATTTCTTATCAGAACTTTCAAACTAATTCCTTACACTGAGAAACCTATTTCAGAACAGTTCTAAATTCTTCTTTAGGAACAAATGATTTAGATATCCAGCTTCAGCCGAGACTTCTGCAAAGTGGCCCAACTCAAAAGCACTTTCTTCCAGCCACGGTGTTACCCTAAGCCAAAAATATTTCAGGATATTCTAAGCTTCGTTTCACTGCTTATTCTGTTCAGTCAGAAAATTCTCCCAATTTAAACGAAACCCCATTACTTTCCAGGAAGTTTCTCTTTCATACAGTGTTTTCAAAGAAATCACCACGGCTACAGAAGTACTTACAAGTTACAACTTACA